TCAAAAGTCTTAAACTGCTTTGATTGAAACATGTTTATTTTATAGAAAATGAGAACGAGACTGAAGGTTTTAAACTCATGATTCATAATGGAATGGTATTTTTTATTCTTACAATTCTTTTATCTCCAAATGAACCTTTAACCATGATTACCAAAGGAGGTAATAAAAAGAATCATTTGTTTATATTATATTGTAATTTGTTATTGTTTTCGATCTTTTTTGTTTTGTTTTCTATTAGTCCTGTTTCCCTTAATTGTGTTAAAAACATAACCGATTTTACACAATTGTTTTAAGTGTTTGTAAGTGGTTCCAGTATAAATCACTTAAAAACACTTAAAGCAAAAGAAAATATACGATAATATCATTATTTGGAAATTCATGTAAATTGTCTTTTACATAATGAAAGGCCATTACTAATATCGTATACATATTCTGAACTTGTATTACTTTGACACTCACCATGTGCAGTTTTATATTAATTTTACCACCAACCTAATGTTTATTGAAATAAGGCCAAGAATATGTTTCTCTCACATAGTTAACATGCAGCAATCTCTAGCCTGTCAAAACGGAAGTTGTTATTTTGAAACCCGCACATGACCGGGATATTTGACTCCCGATTTCATTTGACTATGTTTGCCAGTTGTCCTGCCGAAGATCGGTGGTTCTTTGGGGGGCACCATGGCTTCGTTTACTATCCTGGTATCTATGATGAGTTTATTTACAACCACTGGGTCGATGCCACCGCTGGTTGAGTTTTTTCTGCCCGAGGGTATCACCAGCGCAGTAGTCAGCACGTCTGTGTTAACATGAATTATCATTGATATATGATCATAATTATAAATTAACTGTTTACAAAACTTTTGATTTTTGTCTCGCTTACGACGAAAGTCGCGGAAAGCGAGACATAGGGATTGGCGGCGACGGCTGCGACGGCGTCAACAATTGTTAAGTTTTCTGCTTAAGTTAGTTTGATAAGAACTACTTGTTATAGATCATTGATATTTTGTATAAAGATGCATTACTATCAGTACATATCAGTTTGATGACAATTTTGAGGCCCTGCCCCCTAGGCCATGGTTCCAGTGACTTTGAATTAATTAGCCAATTTCAATGTTAAGTTTTCTTCTTAAGTTAGTTTGATAGGAACTTCTTGGGATATATCAATGATATTTTGTATGAAGTTGCATTTCTATCCAGTTTGACGACTTTTCTTAGGCCCTGCCCCCTAGGCCATGGTCCAGTGACTTTTAATTCATTACCAATTTTAAATGTTAAGTTTTCTGCTGAAGTTAGATTGATAGGAACTGCTGGTGATAGATCAATGGTATTTTGTGTGAAGTTGCATTGCTATCAGTATATATCAGTTTGACGACTATTTTGAGGCCCTGTCCCTAGGCCATGGTTCAGTGACTTTCAATTAATTAACAATTTTCAATGATAAGTTTTCTGCTTAAATTAGTTTGATATGAACAACTTTCGATTGATCAATAATATTTTCTATAAAGTTGCATTACTATATCAGTACATATCAGTTGGATGACTATTTCAAGGCCCTGTCCCCTAGGTTATGGTCCAGTAAATTTCAATCAATTAACAATTTTCAAAGTGAAGTTTTCGGATTAAGTTAGTTTGATAGGAACTACTTACAATAGACAATATTTTCTATACAGTTACATTGCTGTCTGTACATCTCAGTTTGTCAACCATTTCAGGCCCTACCCAATAGTTGGTCCAGCGACTTTGAATTAATTAGCAATGTTGCTGTCCATCAGATTGTCTTTTTCTGACTTTTATGCCGACAGGAGTGTCATATATCTGTGTAACAGTTTATTTGAAATATTATCATTGTCTACCCCCAGGAATAGATTACCTTACCCGTATTTGGCAAAACTTTTAGGAGTTTTGGATTCTCAATGCTCTTCAACTTCGTACTTTATTTTGCCTTTTTTCCTTTTCTTATTCGAGCGTCACTGATGAGTCTTTTGTAGATGAAACGCGCGTCTGGCGTACAAAATTTCAATCCTAGTATCTATGATGAGATTTTTTTACAACCACTGGGTCGATGCTACTGTTGGTGGAATTTTTCTCGCCGATAGTATCACCAGCCCAGTAGTCAGCACTTCTGTGTTGACATGAGTTATCATTGATATGGACATAACTATAAAATAACTGTTTACAAACATTGGATTTTTCGAAATACTAAGGATTTTCTACCCCAGGAATAGACTACTTTAGCTATATTTGGCAAAAATTTTAGTTTTGGATCCTCAATGCTCTTCAACTTCGTACTTTATTTGGCCTTTTTTAACTTTTTTGATTCGAGCGTCACTGTTGAGTCTTTTGTAGACGAAACGCGCGTCTGGCGTACAAATTTCAATCCTGGTATCTATGATGAGTTTATTTTTATAATAAAAAACTGATCGCCACGATATAAACAAGAAGGCAGAAAAAGGCATTGAACACCAACAATTAATCAAGTTATGTTTATGCCACATGTGGAGCAGGATCTGCTTACCCTTCCGGAGCACCTGAGATCACCCCCAGTTTTTGGTGGGGTTCGTGTTGCTTAGTCTTTAGTTTTTCTATGTTGTATCATCTGTACTATTATTTGTCTGTTTGTCTTTTTATTTTTGGCCATGGCGTTGTCAGTTTGTTTTCAATCTATGAGTTTGACTGTCCCTCTGGTATCTTTCGTCCCTCTTTTATTAATGTTCCGAAGAGAAGCACATACATTATCTGATAAAATCCTTTAAATTTTTTTAGAATAAAACAAAAACCTTTTCTGTGTGGAAATATGGCTAGCAGGATCAGATTATTGAACAAAAATGTATGATTAGTGCGTTTAAAAAAAGATAATTTAGTGACAGGGTTTTGAAAATTTGACGACAAAAAAACAAAACAAAAAAAACCAATATATAGCCTTAAGTAAAAGTACTACATATATGCAATTTTGAGTTCAAGCGATTCCTTTTGTATTTTACCTTGATTTGTATCTTCCTAAATGGTTTATGAGATTTTAAAATCGGTAAACTACAAGTGCCTAACGTTTTAACCAATCCAATTCAATTCAGTTTTTTAACAAAATTATCATGTGACAAAAATAACTGTAAAAAAACAAAAACACAAATGTAATGCAAACAGTAAATAAATCATAAAATTACAGAACAAGTAAGGGAGCTACCATTTGATTTTTATGGGGGGGGGGGGGGGGGGGGGGGTTAGGATGAAATTTGAAAAAAATAGGCAGGACAGGAGTTTTGAGAAAAAAAAGGCAGGATGAGATTATTTCCAAAAAAAAAAGGCTGGATGACAATTTAGTTAAATAAAAAAGTCAGGATAAATTAAAAAAAAAAGGCAGGACCGAATAGAGTGAAAAATAAAATGGCAGGACCGAATAGAGGGAAAAATAAAAAGGCAGGACGAAATTTTTCATCCTAGCCCCCCCATAAAAATCAAATGGTAGCTCCCTAAACATAGGAAAAGTCCCCTGTTTCTTGAATCTAATGTCTTTTGTATATGGGAACCAAGTTTATTTACTTGAGATGGTGTTGACAGGTTTGAAATTAAAAAAAATCGTCAATTTTCTAATAAATCAATAAAATATAGGTTGTAGTTTTGTATTTCGATAAAGTAAATTTCGTTATTAGCAAATGAGATACATTCAATCTAATCCATTAACATTCTTGTATTACCCTACAAATTTTAATTATTGAGAATGAAGCATGTTGGCATTTAGATTAAGCGATTTGTAAACTAACTGAATTTGAATAACCAGTTAACAGCTAATTTGATTCAAAGAAACCTATTCCACAATTTTGTTCAATATACATCGTCCCATTAATCAATTTAACGATAACCACTGCATCGTTACAAATGTGAAATAACAACTTAAATGCTTTCAAATTACTTTGAAGAACTTACCATCAGTCTAGCAGTCAAAGTTTTAGACATTTTATTGGAAAATGTAAATTTATTTGAACAAGCGTTATAAACAGGACCGACTAAACACATCATAGATACCAGGAGTTAAATTTTGTACACCAGACGCGCGATTCGTCTACAAAAAAACAACAGTGACGCGCGACTCAAAAAGTTTGAAATACGAAGTTGAAGAGCTAAGGTAATCTAATCCAGGAGAAGAAAATTCTTAGTATTTCGAAACTGGACCAAGGGTTAAGCAAGATGCGATACTTAATTGTTATGCATCAAAAAGGTCGAAATTGCAAATTGGAACTGAGTTAGATTATATATTCGTTACAAAAATACGTCTCTTTTTGTGATGTCCTGCGCTATCGTTAATGGAAGATTTTCTTTGTTATTCTGCGGTTTACATGTTGTAACGACTATTATATTATTTATTTGTGCGTTTCTCTGTGCTGAGTATTTTTGCGTATTTTTGTCACGTAGTGTTGTCATTTTAGCGATACTTTTTAACATTGCCATATAAGCGGGAGGTTTGGCTAGCCATAAAACCAGGTTCCACCCACCATTTTTTTCTTTATATGTCCTGTACCAAGTCAAGAATATGGCAGTTGTTATCAAATAGTTTGTTTCTATGTATCTTGGCGTTTGTTTTTGTTGCACTTCAGTGTTTCTGTTGTTCAGTTGTTTTCCTCTTATAGTTGATGTGTTCCCTCGGTTTTAGTTTGTAACGCGGATTTGCTTTCTCTCAATCGATTTATGACTATTGAACAGCGGTATACTACTCTTGCCTTTATTTATCAACGTTGCAATACACAACTTTGCTTTGAACAATATATTCATCAGCATTACATTGTAGTTTTGAATGATCTCGTACTACCAAGCTCATTTTAAACAGGAGATGTTAGATTTAAACCTGATATTTGAACAATGTATCATAGTGTTTTCTATACATTTAACTCACGATATGTATAAAAGATAGCCCGTTTTGGGAAAATATGTGTACAATTCCATATTTATGTTTTCATGGCATTGTAATGAAATAATATTAATAATTTGTTATATTTATTTTTTAGGTAAGTGTTTCTTCATAAAAGTACAAGTAAAGGTAGGGAAAAGTATTGTATTGATTATATTTCTATTATTCTCAGCCGATAAGTTATTTAAAATTGTCTAGAATCACAGTTATTGTCCATCGCTTTTCATACTCCCTAGTTTTGACAGTGTATTTCTTCTACTTTTTTTAAAGCTGATATACTTTTCATGTTTTATGCACAAAATAGCAAACAAGGGAGATTAAATTGCACTGGAAAAAGTGTGTGCAATGAATTTTAAGGTAATGTTGTGAATTGGTCCATTTGAAAAAAAGCTAAAAATGAGTACGTCCGAAGCTGTCAAACTGAATTTAAAACCCATTAGCATAAAATTTATCATATTGTTAGTACGAATTTATTTATTTTCGTGGATTGAGGAAAATTTGCATTTTCATGTATATTCGATTTCGTGCTTTTTGTCAACTTCTGCATACAAAGCCTATAGAAAATTTGTATTTCATTCAACATTTGAATTCGTGGTTCACCTGTACCCATGAAACCCACGAAGATTGGTATCCAACGAATGATATAAATCCACAGTAATTGTGATACAAATTGGCTTTTAGGTAGTAAACTAGAAACACTGGACTGTACAAATCATATTGAGAAAGCACAGATGAAATTTTACTTTGCATTTGTTGTTCTTAAAAATGCGCTACAAATTATCTGTGGTTGCGGACCATATACCAGGTGCAGTTTCAAGCGCGAAAATGTCGGCACTCCTGTTCATAAAATGTTGATTGTTTCGTCGAGACACTATTTGTTTTACTCGAAGGAATATATTCCTTGTCTAAGGCCAAGTAAATTTAATTAGTAGATTTTCATCCAAATTTTTGAAAAAAATGGGGTGGGTGGGATTATTTTATTTTTTATTTTTTATTAGAAATGAAACGCTCTTGTGACGTGTTCTTCATATATGCAAGTGTAATAATAAGGTTCTATTATGTATATACATGTATAACGAATCAAACATACAAAGAAATGCAAAAACCAAAATTTGAAACAGGATGTTATTAATGAAACGAAATTATCGACAGTTACCGGTAACGAAAATGAACAAAATCCGGAAATCGTAAATTTTTCAAAATAAAAAAAATTGGGGCGGAACGATTTCAGAGGGGTGGGCGGGGATGAAAATCTAACAATTAATTTTAATTGGCCTAAATGTGATATAACTGTTTTGATTTTGATAGTTTGCAATTCTTTGTAAATTGGATTTTTATGGGCAGTTTTGATTATATCACCACTGATTACATTAAGGATGTTCGCTCCTCTTGTTTTTGAATTTTTGCCAGATATTCGGAATCCTTTGGTTTTATCCATGTGGTGCCATTACAAAATTTTCCCCGCTAACCCGTACTTTTCTTTTCACAATTTTATTACATATAGTTTAAAAAGCTAGAGAAAATTATTTCCCGCCAAATTTTAAATGGCTTATATCTCGAAAATAAGCACACGGATCCTTCTTTTTTATCTGCCTTTTTAGTTCCTTTATTTATATACTATCAATTTATAAGAGTCTTTTAAAAAGCTTGTTATTTTAAAACAGAGTAGCGAACATCATTAATGCCACGTGCGTACCAAGTTAAAAGTTTGGTATCTTTGATGATGTTTTACAGTTTGTGTTTGATGTTGCCACTATCTGGCCAATTAAAATTAATTGATAGATTTTCATCCCCGCCCGCCCCTCTGAAATCGTTCCGCCCCAATTTTTTTTATTTTGAAAAATTTACGATTTCCGGATTTTGTTCATTTTCGTTACCGGTAACTGTCGATAATTTCGTTTCATTAATAACATCCTGTTTCAAATTTTGGTTTTTGCATTTCTTTGTATGTTTGATTCGTTATACATGTATATACATGATAGAACCTTATTATTACACTTGCATATATGAAGAACACGTCACAAGAGCGTTTCATATCTAATAAAAAATAAAAAATAAAAAATAAAATAATCCCACCCACCCCATTTTTTTCAAAAATTTGGATGACAATCTACTAATTAAATTTACTTGGCCTCTTATAGAATTTTAATTAAAAAAAATCTAAACGAGGTATTTTTGTTTCAAATCTTGCTATTGATTCATATTTGAAAATAAACCTCACTAGTATTTCTGTTGGTTTGCAATGAGATTAAATAGGATGATGAAAGCTAATGAAGATTTAAAGTTATTCTTATTTCTTTTCGATCGATTGAATATATATATATATATATATATATATAAACGCATTTAGTCTTAAACACATCTGAGAAACCTACACTTGACTAATAAAGATATTGCAATTTGACATTACAATCGTAATTTGGAAAGAGTTTGCTGAAATGGTATGGAACCAACATTCAGTTTGTCTGCAACGATGATCTTTCTTTCCCTTTGTAGACTTATCTACAAAATATCTTAAGATATTTAACCGTATTGAAACGATATCTAAACGACATAGAATATCTTTGATGTCGTATTGTTCAGAGACATAACACTGGTGGCAGCTTTTGATTGGGTTTTTATATCTTTATAGGAGAACTTAATGAACTTCATTACTGCCTAATCAATAAAGGCAACCGTAGTATATCAATACTCGTCTTCTGACAGAAAGTTTAGATCTGTATCGTTCTTTATTAGGACCTTTGCATAGTGTGTGTTGTTATAAATGTCATTAAGTGCTAAAATCAGTCACATTTGTCTTGTTTTTCAATCTTAACTTAGGGTCCCTTCTTTATTTGCCACAAGAAGTTCAAGGATATTCCATGATTAGACATTGATCTATTTTTATGATGATATCAGAAGACTTAAGTGAAGAAACCATAAATTATTTTGATTGTATGACATTAAAGATCACATTTGAAAAAATTAAATGCTCCAAAAGGTTCAGTCTTCATCAGTATCTAATGAACTGGCCATTCATCTTATGAGCGTACTGGTTTTATACATAAGTTTTGTCGGCATTTAAACCTTTTATGTGAACTTCAAGGTCATTTACTGGCTTCGTATATGACTGAAATTAAGTTTAATTTTTTAAGTTTTCCAGGTATGGTGAGGATCCTGGCCTGCTTAAGAGATTATATGTTTTTGATATTTCACCTGCGCAGTGATATGTGTTATATTCTTCTATGATGAAGAGAAGTAAACACAAATATTAAAGTCTTCCGTTTGATAGGGAAAGATTTTTTTAAAATCCAGCATCCAACAACAGTGCTATATAGCTACACAGTCAATTTGTTTCTCATGCGCGTTTTAGTTAAACTGAAAATTACCTAGAGATACTAAAATGAAAGCTCACAAAATGATACCCCATCCATTGCAAAGTCCATGCTTTGGGTAAGGGAAACCCCTAAAAATGGAGATATACGCACAATATTTTCTAGAATCTGAGACAATTTCTGCAAATTATGACCAGAGATTAAGGAGGAGAAAATCCCGAAACTGATGATAATGATACAAAGAAATTAGAGGTGTACATTGGCATTATATGGTTTAGATTGTAAGGACGTGTAAATACATTGTAACTAGGGGTTAAGAGAAGTTGTGGATATAAAATTAACATCACCTAAAACAAAACAATGTCAGTGTCCATGCTGTAGTAAGGAAAACCCCTAAAATGGCAGTGATAAAAAAAATGGAGGTGCACAATAACATTATATGGTTAATAAAAGACAGGAATAGTTTCAATAATATAAAGATCAGGAGGACTGAGAGAAACGTCAAAAATGATTCGGACAAAAAAAGCATTATATTGTAAAAACTCTGAGATGCTTTCATAAATTATGATTAAGGGTTGAGAAGCTCATACACATGTGTACTAAAATCAACGCCATCCCAAAATAAACCCAAAGATTACAAAGTAAATAACGCGAGTAAGATTCTGTGAAAATGTCACAATAGTCTGCCTAGCTGTTCGGGAATAGTTGCGGATACAAAAATTGATAGACCACTCACTGTATTCCGCTCGCTTTAGAAAGCGGTGGTATAAAGAGTGAAACGATATTGTGGTCAATGAATAAATGTATATTCGTTCAAGCGGAATATTATTAAAGTTTCAGGTTGTATTATATGAAAGCTTGGATATTGTAGACTTTTCCAATAATCAACAAGACTGTATGAAGCCATCCATCCAATTTTCTAGTTTGTAGTTTAGTTTTCGTAAGAAAAAGCACACAGAAGTCGTATAATTATGAGTCTTTTATTAATACGGTGTATTGTCTAGACACGTGTCATTCAAATTTTAAATCTCGCGAGATTTCGTATAAAGAAGATCATATAAAAAGTTTCATACTTTGACATAATCTTAATTAATTTCATTACCATTCTTGAAGGCTCCTGACTGTTCAAATTCAACCAGTATTTTCCGATTGTCACTTGGGAATCACATCAGAATTCAACTGTGGATTATAACTGAAATTGAAACTATGCTGGAGAAATGAAAACGTTTGGATATTTCTATAACCATGTCAAGCAATTTAAAACCTCCAGACCAAAATATACATGTCCTAGTGTTTTCGGTGCTGTATTATTTTGGCTTTTTGAAATTTGTTTAATTTTTTTAATGAATTTTTATTCTATTAAAGGGCCGAATATTGACAAAAACATGATTTCCGTACTCTAATTTAGGAAAAAAAGTACGAAAGGCAATTAAAAAAAACGTTTAAAAACATAAAATTTTAAAAAAGGGTCTAAAACTCATCAAAGATCTAAATAAAACAACCAAAATCAAACTAACCAAAGATAAACTTTACACGAGGGAGCAGCAACCTTATTTTTAGAACTATTACACAATTTAACAAATTGGAAATTTACACATAAAATGTTTTTTTTTCAATTCTGTCAATACATTTTCATTGACGTATACATATACAATTTGAGTCGGAGTTATCTTCCTTAACCGTCATATTGAAGGACAAACCGGTTTGAATTTTTGGTTTGACTGACTAAATTTTTACATATGTTATAAGGGAGCTACCATTTGATTTTTATGGGAAGGGGGGGGGGGGGGGGGGGGGGGGGGCTAGGATGAGATTTGAAAAAAAAGGCAGGACAGGAGTTTTGAGTAAAAAAAAAGGCAGGATGAGCAACTTGGCAAAAAAAAAGGCAGGATGACAATTTATGTAAAAAAAGTCAGGATAAACTAATAAAAAAAAGGCAGGACCGAATAGAGTGAAAAATAAAAAGGCAGGACAGAGATTACAACTTAAAAAAAATGCAGGACACAATTTTTCATCCTAGCCTCCCCACCCATAAAAATCAAATGGTAGCTCCCTAAGCAAGTCTGATAAAAGGTGCATACATGATGGAAGTGATGAATTAATACAATGCTTAATAAGATGAATGCTGCTTAGAAAAAAAACCTTTGAAAGTCTACCGGTCAATATTACAACTAGACCTTTTTTGATTTATGAAATTATTTGTGCAAGTCACCCTTAAACATAAAGTAAAATGATCTCAATCATAAATTATATATTCAACGTAAAACAATTTGACTCAATGAAACTCGTACAAGCATGTCTCTAAAAGGAATGGGGAGAGTTATGACCGATCTTTAATCAAATATTTGTTTTCATAATAACATGACGGCAAAGGGAAAC